GTGCTTAGCAATCTACTATGTGCTCGTTTACGCATGGTCACTGGGAGTCATCGCTGGTATTCGACGTACAGTCACAGCTGCCGCGGTGAGTCAATGGTATTTTCATCGCTTTACGACGCCAGCGCCGACCTCCAGGCAAATAGTCCAAGCCGCAACTCTGCACTCCGCTACAACCCTTTTTGGTACAATTTGCCTATCGAGCCTCCTGGCTCTGATGATCCGCGTCCCGCTTTTGTTGCTTCCCGGTCGTATCGCGTCACTTTTGAGTTTCTGCGCCTATTCCTTTGTCCCAACTCCTATAACTGCCCTCACGGACCCTCTAACCCTCACATATGCGTCCATTCATTCCCAGCCGCTTACAGTGTCCGCTCGTGGTCTGGTGCAGATGACAAACCTGACCCCCTCCATAGCGACGACTTCTCTACACCCACGGTCGTTCTCTTGGTCTCGTGGGCATTCTGCAACTCTTCTCCCTTATCGACTTTCCAAGCTCATCCTGCATGCGGCCCGTCTCATGATGTCTCTTGCGCTTGGGTTTGGTGGCTGGGTGAGCACTGCTCGGAGCCTAAGTGTGATGGGTACCAACGGTTCAATCCGCGGAAGCATGTATGCCTACATGGTCGGGATCATTGCTGGGACGATCGGTTGGAGTGTGCTGGGAGCAATTGAAGGTGTAATTGCAGATACTGTCGATGCATCAATCATTTGTTGGAGTAGCGAAGTTGGAGCCTACGGCCGGGAAGCAAGGTACTGCCGAGAAGCTGGCTGGCTCTTCGGCCAAGAGCCTGGGTCTGTTTCCAGGAATACGCGCTTTGAGGATCCATGAGCTATCACTTGGTAGGTATACCTGTGCGACCATGAAAGGAATGTCAAGACTTTCATTGAGAGGACATCTACGGCTTAGTAATCACCGCACTGTCAATCTTGAGCTCGAATAGGATTTTCGAATATCTGGTGATGGCGGTATTGCGCTTCGGGGGGGTTGAGAGGCTTCGGCTTAGCGATTGTGTTTATTCTTTATCACTATGTCTGCGGGAGACATCTGCTGCTAAATGAACGACTTATGCCAGGTATCATATTTAGAATGTTATTAGAGCCTATATCATCTTATTTGACTCTTTGCCACTTTGGCGTAAGGCACCTCGGAGTGTAAATAATTCGCCTGGTTGTACCTTCTCCCGGAAGAGAATCATCACTAATAACAATAGAATATAAAAAGATAAAAATTCAAGATGACTACCACTAGCGTAGTAGCGTAGTCAGATTCGCTTTCCAGATGTGGTTACTAAAGTGTAACAGGCGCATTACCCTACAAGCCCCAGTGCCCGGGTTTCAATTTCTAAGCTCCAATCCCATGGATGTACGCTGAATGATATAGCATGTAGTCGATTGAAAATCATGCACCCCCAACGTATCTCCCAGACCTACGTTGCAAATAAATAAAAGATGAATGTTTGCCTCCTCTTAAGCATAAGCACATACAACCCGTGGTATCATGTAAAAATAACAGCAGGCAAAATATATTCCCTGTACACGCCTGCTGCCACAAACGCCAACTGAAAGCCATTGAAATGGACCGCAGATTGTGACACGAACGACATAGCAGAACGCCTGGATGAACTCGTCACATTTACAGCTTGAGTCGGCTATTCCATCCCACACCTTCTTTGGCGCACCACTCACTCAGAAATGCGTGACTGAACCGGACTACCTCTAGGGGGGCGTTGGTCCGTCCAACTGGCAAAAAAAATTCGCCAGAATAGTCGCCAGCTCTCAAGCGTTGCCTTCCCAACTCTGAGAAATTCTTGGATCGTTTAGACCAGGTACTTGGAAACTCACGCGAAAGCACATCTTCGCAAAGACCGCGTGAGCCTTCGAGCCATAACTTCTGAGATTCTCTATAGCACTCGTGCGGTCTATTCTTCAGCTCCACAAACTCTTTCCGGCTCTTCTTATGGTCTTCCGATGCAGCAGGGTTTTCATCGCTCCCTGGAGTGGGCGCTGGCGTGTTCTCCCCAGGTAAAGGTGTGGCGGCAAGTCGCTCAAGATCAAGTGCGTGAATGGCATCATAAGAGACAGCACCAAGTATGAGGCAGAGGCTATGCAGGCGCGGATAGGGAGTGCTATTCTTTTTAACAACACGCCAATATGCGAGGATAGACAGCCAGGAAGACGAATCTGCAGTTTGCCGGGATAGCGCTTTGGATTGATCATCGGCAACAAATGCCACGATGAAGCAAAGAATAGCCTCAATTGCTGTAGCGGCCGCGAGTTTTTCATCAACGGTAGTTACGTGATCTTTGGCTGTGTGTCGCTCCGCAGCATGCTTTAAATCACGTCCCAGATTTGAATATTTCTGATACTCATCTTTCCAAGCTCGACGGTCGCATTGACGTGATGCCGTATTAGTCGATTGCGGAGATGCGAGTTTTGTAGGAGTGGCCGAATTACCGGGGCGCTTGACGGCTGGATGAGAAGACGGCTTTCCGTCATTGCCGCTGAATGGATCAAACCGGCTGGCAGAAGACTTAGGGTCTTTTACCGGCGTTGTTGAACTAGCTTTCGATCTGTCTGATGGATTTAAAGCCAGATTTGAGGAGAAAGACATAGGCGTTTGAGGCTTTTCAGGGACTTTTGAGTGCTCCCGAGAGACGGTAATTGTGCCCATATGCTTCCCTTTCCCTTCCAACCGTTGTGGCTTGTTGTGATCAGGATGTTCCGACGCTGGAGCCTTCGCTGCCGCCTGCCTGGCTTTTTGACTCTGAGAGGGCTCAATGTCTAGTGCACTCTTCACGGGTGACCCCGGCGGGGCCGGTTTCTTTTTGCCAGAAAATTTCAGGAGAGCCTCGATCCGCTTCCGGTTTGATCTTCCATATTTCAATTTCACGACCAGCTGCACTCTAGCCGAAGCATCCTGTAGAACCGGTGGCGAGCCGATTGATCTTGACATCGTATTTCCGACATGGTTCTTTGGATTACCTTTGGAGGCCAGAGAACTGTCCAAAGTTGAGACATCCGTGCTTGAGGGCCGTCGTTTGTCATTTCCATGATAAAATTGCTTGCTATGCAAGCCCGAAGAGTGTGTTGAGTCTGGCTGTGACGAAGCGTGAACGGCAGATTTGGCCTTCTGGATTTTTGATCCCGATGATAAATCATTATACGAAGCGCCGTCGCTTTGTGATGATCCTAGGCCCAGGGGGCCTTCTCCAAGCGCGGCTAATTCCTTCTCAATATCAGGCGGAAGAGTAGGAGACAGAAGCCGAGGCAGTCTTGGACTGTTTGAAGTAGGGGGAAGGGTCGGTGACAGGAGAGCAGGCAAGCCGTTACCCTTCAGCCGTTCGGTCTTTGCAGGACTCGGAGATATCCTCGGCTTTTTGGGGGCCGCGACCTTATGCTGTAACCTCGAAGAATCGGAGGCGCCATCGACAAACGGGCGCTTGCGCTCGATGCCCCCCGAGTTAGACGCAGCTCGCGATTGGACGGGAGGTTTTCCCACGGGCTTTTGCGAGTCATTGCTAGGAAGGCTAGCCCTAGCAGCTCGCTGACTTGCATCGAGGGTATCAAGGACTGAGGTGCTTTGCTTACTGACTTCAGGGCCGACAGGGGAAGCGGAGGCGCCACTCTTCCTTCTGTTCCTGTAGTCGCTAAAAGTTATCTTTTTCTTCACCGAGTTGTTGGATGGTGTGCTTGCAGCACTCTGGCCTCCGGAACGCTGGTCGGACATGACGTTTCCTGTCGCGTCAGACCAGTCACCCACAGCCACTAGCAAGGAATCTCCTTCGTGATGTGTAAGGAATGTCATATATTGTAGTTGTTGCTCCTCCGGTGTAAACGGCCCGTCATTACCCACAGCCCAGTTGTTGACAAAGCGACTCCCCAGGCGGAAAGGCACATCAGTGGGAACAGTGAGAAGGAAGGGGTAGAACGGAAGGATTTCTTCCCTAAGCCGCTTCAATCGTTGGTCGATTGAAGATTGACCGGAGTTATGTGTCTGTTCGTTAATGAACTTGGGGTCTTTTATTTCATCATCCGCGGAGCGATAGGGCTGGTCCCCCGACATTGCAGTCCGTTGATCAAAAGCCTACGTGGCTGACGGCGAGCAAGCTCTTTTCGACTGACCATGAACCAATACCAAGTATTCCTTCCTTCTCTTTTGACCTCCCTGAGTGGCGTTAGCTCCCAGTATCATGTGGCTACGCGAATTGGAGTTCAATTGCCGCCACTATCGAACATCGCACTTCCCAGGAACAGGTTCAGGGACCACGTAGTGTGACCTTTTGAAAAGTCACCTTTCAAGAACTGCCAGCGCGCCTTCGTATTGTATTGAGTCTTCCCCTTTCCCTCTATCTTGTGTCAGAATCTGGATACCGAGCGGACTGAGCTCCTCGTTGGCCTTTGCCGACTGCCCCCCAAAACTGCGACCTGTGACGCTAAGAGAGAGACCGGAATAAACGAGCGTTCAACAACACAAGCGCTTTGGATCCGAATAGATGCACCCACAGCCAGCCGGTCTGGATTCAGCTGGCGGGGGATTTTGCACAAAATTGGCTGGAATGGGGAACGCGATAAGAAACCAGCCCCGACCTGTCGTACAGAAGTAGCGTCGACAAACAGCCAATGTATGCCGGAGCTAGAATGAGACTCTCGAGGCCATAAGGATAGGGGACGGGAGCCTCTGGCTCGCTAGTGTTGATGTGGGCGTAACAGCAAGGAATAGACGACAAGGAAGGAGAGCGCCGAGGAGCTTCCTCTAGAGATGGGATCGCTTTTCCGTCCGACAATGAGGGTGGGTTGGGGGGGCTTAGTCGCGACTGGGGATGCTGGCTGGCGGTCGAAGCGGAAACGCTTGGCAGTAATTGATTTGCTTATGATTAGTCTAGAGCGGGTCTCCTCCGCTTATCTACTAGGCACCTTACTCCGTACCATACTTCAAAGATTGAAGCTCTTACTTCTCAACAAGTCTTCTCCGACTACGTACCGCTTGCAATTGTCCAGGGCCCTCGTTCTTTTTGTCCCTATCTATGTGCAGTGGCAAACGGAAGACTCAGGCCTGTATGTCCTAGTACTTTATTATCACAGGTAAATCCGCATTAAAGGCAACGACCTCAGATACCGATTGGCTTGACGGTTTATCAGAAATCACCAGGCTTGAATCTAAACTCATCCAACAATCTCAGAACAGGCCTGAGTTTGACACTGTATACAAATATGACCAATCGTTTTCACGAACGATCTTCTGACGCGAATTTTCCCTGCCAAAATGCCCTAAAATGCTTCTGCTGCCCCGCAGCGGAGATATCATCAATCTCCCTTGGTGTCAACTGAAAGGTTAAGGCGCGCAAATAGCTGCTTAAGCGGGATTCTTTGCTACTAGTCGTGATTGTTATACAGCCACGGTCTATGGACCATCTCAGGAGGATCTCCCCTTCACTGACTGCATATTTTTTAGCCAGATGTGGCAGCAGGTCATCCACTGGCCCTCCCTTTGATCGGATGATAGGAGTTAAAGGCCCATAGCTTGCTGTTTGGATGCCTTGGCTCTTATGAAAGTCGAGTAGATTGCCATGCTGTAGATAGGGATGGAATTCAATCTGGTTGATGGATGGCGGAACTGTGGCTGTCTCCAAAATAGCCTCCAAATGGCTTTGCAGGAAATTAGACACGCCAATTGACCGTGCCTTTCCAGCGGCCTTCACCTGCTCCATAGCAGCCCAGGCTGTTTGAAGGTCGCTATATGAGCTGGCGAAAAAAGGCGAGTGAATTAGATACCTATATGTAACCCCCGTTAGTCCTCGCATCTGGCAGTAAACCAAGGTTCTTCGAGCCGGTAGAAACATATTGGCGGGCGGATCACCTACAGATCAACGTAATCCAACTGAAGCTTTTCTAGACTTGCGTCGATTGCCCTCGGAATATCTGCGATGTTTACGCTCACCTTAGTGGTCACGAATAGCTTATCTCGTTCCACGCCACTCTCCTTGATGGCAAGACCAAGCTCAGACTCAGTTCTGTAAGACTCGGCACCATCAAGGTGGAGATACCCCAGTCGGATAGCATCTTTGATGGATTCAACGAGCTCTCGGTTGATACTAGTGTCCCCTTCCTTCTTATACCAAGCTGTGCCGCAGCCATATCCAAGCTGCTTCCGTTATCAAATGTAACTGAATTGGTTGCCAGAAGGATAGAATTGCAAATGAGTCTGCTGCTCCTACAACTTACCTGGGGAACACACGTGCCGTCGTTCAATCTGACGGATGGCATAGATTTCAGGGTGTTGGCCATCTTTGTTGCTTTTCAGTATGACTGATGTGGTAATATCCTTGTTCGTAGACACGACCAATCCCAGTTTCTTTCCTTTCTTTCGCAAGGCATAGGAGACCTTTGGAAGTTCTATACTCGGATGCAGAAATGGATGATGTATTAATACTCCGTTCTACGAACCGGATCGGATCAGCTCCGGCTCCACAAGCCATCCAGCTTCATCCCGCGCTGCGGCTGCGCATGTCCTGAATCTCCGAGCCTTCCGCCTTGCCCCACCATAGTCCGACGAAGAGGTTCTATTTTACAATGGTAGGCAATTGCGTTACCAGCGTGTAGTCCATCAAGGGGCAGACAAATGCGGGATCGGTAGGCGGAACTGGTTGAGGAGAATGATGTCATAGCCCAGGTCTCGCCTCGCCGGCTTACTTAAACTGACCCAGGTCAATTGCTAATACAGAGAGTACTCGTCGGCGAACTAACCGATGAACTAAACTTAACAGCTACACTGGCAGTGATAGTCAAACTCTTCTTATAGAACCCGGTAAAAGCCAATATCCCCCTATTTGCCTAAGTAGCTTGTCGAGGGTCCGTATATACTTGACACATCCCTCGCTCACTGTCCGAGGTCTTCCATGGGCTTATTTGTCGCTCATCCTGGCCTTCTCCGCGCTCGTTTTATGTTGGCCCGCAGTACCCTCTATCCATCGCGGATCAGTCGAAATCGCTTAACTCAAATGGCGTCGCAGCTCTCCGACGCAAATGGAGGGCTTTCGTTGGCCGAACTCCCTAAGTCCAATGTCTTCACTTCCAAGCTTCCTCCCGACCCAGCTTTTGAGACCCCTGAGGTGTCACATCGAGCTCCCCGTGAGACACTCGGCCCACGGTTAGTAAAAGGTGCTTTATATACCTTCGTCAGACCTGAGCCGGCGGAGGAGAGTGAACTTCTGGGGGTGAGTCCAAAGGCCATGAATGATCTTGGTTTAAAGCCCGGTGAAGAGCTTTCCCCGAAGTTCAAAGCTTTAGTTGCGGGGAATGAATTTTACTGGGATGAAAACGAGGGTGGCATATATCCTTGGGCACAATGTTACGGAGGTGAGAGACGTTGGAGACCTTTCAATTTCTTAAACTGAGATTAATTTTCACTAATACCTTCAAGGATGGCAATTGTATGTTTCCTGACAGTAAATATCTTTGTTCATTGAAATTGACAAATCGCAGCGGCTCGTGGGCTGGACAACTCGGCGACGGAGTAAGTGCTTGTTTCTAGACACAACTTTTCATTGATAGTGCTTAATAATTGGTTTTCCAGCGTGCAATCAGCCTTTTTGAAACTACAAACCCGAAAACCCGTACTCGCTATGAGTTACAACTAAAAGGTGCGGGGCGGACTCCTTATTCCCGCTTCGCCGATGGAAAGGCTGTGCTTCGCTCTAGCATCAGGGAATACATAGTATCAGAAGGTATTGCTTCCGCATGTCCTAATCGTGCAGCTTCGACTAACTGCGAGCAAAGCCCTTTCTGCACTTGGTGTTCCAACCACTCGAGCTTTGTCTATAACCCTATTGCCTCAGTCAAAGGTGTTGCGCGAACGTTTGGAGCCCGGAGCTATAGTTGCTCGATTTGCTGAATCGTGGCTGAGGATCGGAACATTTGACCTCCTACGGGCACGAGGGGACCGTGAGCTGATTAGACAATTGGCGACGTATGTCGCAGAGGATGTGTTCCAGGGCTGGGAGGCTCTGCCCGCTATGCTGCCGTTGGACCAGAGTCAGTCATCTGATACTGTAGACAACCCTCCCAGACATGTATCTTGGGACCAAGTTGAAGGGCCGCCAGGCTCGGAAGAGAATCGGTTTGCAAGGTTGTACCGTGAAATTGCACGACGAAATGCTAAAACCGTTGCTGCTTGGCAAGCATATGGATTTATGAACGGGGTGTTGAACACTGACAATACTTCAATCTATGGCCTTTCATTAGATTATGGCCCATTCGCGTTTATGGACAACTTCGATCCTCAGTACACGCCTAACCATGATGACCATCTCCTGAGATATTGTTACAAGAACCAACCTAGCATCATCTGGTGGAATCTGGTTAGGCTCGGCGAGTCACTTGGAGAACTCATTGGTGCAGGTGAAGACGTTGACAAGGAAGATTTTGTGAGGGATGGTGTGACAGAGGAAGCCGCACCTGCCATCATTAAACGTGCGGAGGAGATCATTGACCGAACAGGCAAGGAGTTCAGGATGGTGTTCCTGAACGAATATAAACGCATCATGAGCAACAGGCTAGGCTTGCGCAGCCAAAAGGAAACTGACTTCCAAGTACTGTTTTCGGAACTGCTCGATACATTGGAGGCTTTGGAGTTAGACTTCAATCACTTTTTCCGAAGACTGTCAAACATATCGCTGTCGGATATAGAGACGAAAGAGACGAGAGAGAGGATAGCATCTATCTTCTTTCATAACGAAGGGTTTGGTGGCATCGGATACACCGAGGATTCCGCGAGGCAACGAGTCGGAGATTGGCTTGACAAGTGGAGACAACGAATTATAGAAGACTGGGGCGTTGATCAAGACTTGGAAAGACAAAGGATCATGAAGAGTACAAACCCAAAGGTAAGCCTACCATTACTATTTTCGCTGCTGGCCCGCCACGACACTAATGGGTGGTTATGTTTCTTTAGTTCCTGCCTCGCGGCTGGATCCTCGATGAAGTTATTGAACGTGTTGAACGCCGTGGAGATCGAGAGATACTCGGAAGGGTGATGCATATGGCACTTAATCCCTTCAATGAAGAATGGGGGCAGAATCATGATGAAGAGGAGCGCTTTTGTGGGGATGTCCCTCGCTTCAAGAGAGCCATGATGTGCAGCTGCAGTTCTTGAACGTGTTCCCATAAACCGCGACCGATATATTAGTCCGCGGCGTATGATGTGTTTAGAAAAATGGAATTTTTGATGCAAGTAGCTGATGCTACGGAGAACTGAAAATAATCACCAAAAAATATTGTTTCCACCCTCTTTCTGACAGATAAAGACTACTCCCCTAACGATTCCCTGGAGGTACATGCCGAGCAGGCAAAGGCCTGACTAAGATGGAACCGTGGAATTGAAATTGCTTTCATATGCTAGTTTTGTGGACAAGTTTTCTTCCGCATTACACATCATTTCACATGTTTGCCCACCCGCAAACCCAGGCCACCACTTATCAGTCTTACAAACTGATTCTCCCGCTTTTATTGTTTGGAACACCGGACTTCATCCGTTTGATTCCACGATAACTGGATATCATTTTGGATATCATTGTCAGCCGGCGGAGGAAGTCAATCAGAGACAGGCTCGCAAGCCAAGTCGTGCATTAGACCAGAGAAATCGGGGTAAAGAGATTGTAGATCATCACGGTGAGCGCGATAAAGGTCATCCCGATATCCTGGTCTCGCGTATGATAGCGCGACAGAAGACAAACGATGCAGCATGCAGATCAACTATTTAGTTAGGGCAAGCAGCCTGGACGTGACCAGGTTGCTTGCAGTTGTAGCACACCCGCTCACCCTTGGCCTCCGTAGGGCAGTCACGGGAGACGTGGCCGACCTCACCGCCTATGAATACAGTGTTAGCGTGTCTGACTTAACCTGAGAGATTGTGAAGGGTGCAGTAGCCTACAGTTGTAGCACTTCTGTCCGTTGGTGCAGTCGCGAGCCATGTGTCCGAAGCCACCGCAAGAGTAGCAAGTCTGCTGACGGCCGCCAAAGCCACCACCGTAGCCGCCGCTCTGAGGGCAGTTCCTAGCAATGTGACCGACACGGCCGCACTTGTAGCACTCCTGGCCACCACCAGCAGCAGCACCACCGAAACCCTCGGCGGGGCTAGCCTGGCACTCACGGGAGATGTGGCCCACACCACCGCAGCGGTAGCAGGACTTCTCCTTGGGTGCTACAGTGCATTCACGGCCTGCATAATAGGCTTGTTAGCATCTCGGCAAGACAAAGGAAGATATATATGATCAAAAGACGGAGAACGGGAGAATTTGCTGGTTGACTTACTGACGTGTCCTTGTCCTGTGATGGTACAAAGGTGCGGTTAGATAGAGTGGCTAAGAATCAACGGAAAAAGGCGCAATGAAATTGGGCCAGTGAACGAAATGGAATAAGGGAGATTGGTCATTGATGTAGAGACAAGGTCGGGAGACATACCACCACAGTTGTAGCTACCGAACTTAGTCAATAATGTTTACAGTAAGAGGAAAATGGACAGTGCAAGTTAAGCATACCAGGTAGGAGTGCCCTTCTTGGGACAGTCACGGGCCTGTAGAGATTAGAGATTAGAACGTTGCCAAACCATGATTATGGAGACAATCCCAGAAAATGCTGGCCGAGGATGTTATGAGGAGACGATGGTGACAGGGAAAGGTTTACCTGGTGGGAAGCATCACCGCCTAGAATGAATGAAGATCTTTTGTTAGCTTTTCCGTGCCAATCCAGAAATTCGCTTCACCAGGATTGGTAGCCACCGCGCTAAGACGGCAGGACGATTAAAAAAATCGAGACAGATAGGTGAGTGATCATGGAAGGTCAAGGGATCCCAGCTGTAAACTGAGGATACCAAGTAGAACTCGGTGGATGATGGGCAATCATGATCAATGAAGCCGTTTTTTTCTCCCCCTCGGCTGGAGCTGCGGGAATGGAGGCACACAAGGTGCATGACAGAATCGAAGGGCTCAGGTTTGACAATCGACGGAACAGAGCGGGGGGGACTCACAGTTGAAGCAGCCACGACCTCCAGCTTGGAAACTCATTGTGGATATGGGATATAGGTGAACTGGTAAAGAACTTTTGGGGTGAAGAGGTAAGTAAGAGAGAGGATGGTGATGGCCAGGTGAGGGTTTGAGAGGGGGGTGGAAACTGGGCGATCAGAAATTTAGGTAGGGATTTCTTGCTAGCGCCGATAAATAATAACCAGAAGGAAAAATAAATCAGACATGCGGACAGTCGGTGCGGGGGAGCGCTTCCCGTGGTTCCTG